TGTTCCCGTTCTGGTTGATGCCCTGGTTCACGTGTACACAGAATCTCGGGTCTGCCGCCCAGTGTATCCGTGACACGGGCGGATACACAAGCGGATTCTTACGTGTACCTACTCCGCAATAGATGAAGGTGCTGGGCGAGCCTTTGGAGACGCAGCTCTCCTCGGTGGAAAACCCAGTGCCGGTGTAGCATTTGCCCTTCGTTGGCCTGTAGCACACGGTGCATGAATCAGGGCAAACACCGGAAACCCGGACGACATCGTCGTTCTGATTGTCGTCGTCATCGCCGTCGGACTTGGTGCGCTCGAGACGTTGTTCTGACGGCGGGTGATGCCCGCGCCACGGATCGAAGGTCTCGTCGAAGCCTCCCAACCAGGCAAGCAATGTGGTGTTCGTGGAATGCCGTTCGACGTATACGGGACCACGTGCTTCCCCGATGACGACCCCCGCGGCGAACAATAGTGCCTCGAGCATCAATTGGATCGAGCATGTGGCCATATGGACATTTGCCATGCAGTGAAGAGTGCTCAGCCCGAAGGGCTTTAGCCAAATGCCTACGTACGGGCTATATGATGACGATGATGTTTATGGTCCTTAATGGTTTGAGATCTGCACGGTTGCATGGCTATCGACACCATGCTCGCAAATGCCAGCGAGTATTGCGCGCGAAGTCGCGCGCACTCCGATCTTCGCTGTCTGATCCTCTGATCGTCTCCAGGGAAGTCAAGCTATCCCCCAAACAAATCACTTCACACGCAGGTTGTGACTCTGTGCATGATGCCCGTTTCCACTCACTTGGCATGCGCATCTCTCTGCGCTCGCACAGAGGAGATCAACACTGCTGGTCGCAACAATTGATGCAATTGCCTGCGCAACCTATCTGTCCACAATTGCCGCCACATGTTGACATGCCGCAACATGTGTAGTTAACATATGTATCATTACAAGATAACAGCATCGGCTACGTAGCTACAGCTTCTTGCCCGTTTGTGAAAAACGCAACATGCTGCCAATCTCGAAAGAGCTTTTGAAGCCGTCTTGCGTCCGCCAGCACATGTCACTGTTTCAGAGCACCACGCGTTCATAACTCCGCGCTCCTGGTTGGGAGAAGCCCGCGAAAGAATCGATAGTGACAACACTCCGCACACCCATCCTTCCCTCACTTCTCATACCGTTCCACTCCCCCTTTCCCCTAATCACTGCGCCCGCCCTCCATCTCCCGCCCATATCCACCCTCTTCCGCTCCCCACTCCTGCCTCCCCATTGAGCATGAAGGGGACGGGGCCCTGAAGGAAACGGGTCCTGAATCTGGGGGGCTTCTCCCGAGGACCACACTTTCAGCGTGAGTTGCTGTATTCACCCTCACTCGCGTTGACTAGCAGAGGGAGGGAAGGAAGGGAGACGCACCGTTTTGGCGACGACCGCGAGCACAGCCGCAGGCTCTTTTCTGACGGTCCCAGCGCACCAGGAGAGCTCCGGGAGCCCGCCCACGATCTCGAGGACTCCTCTCGCTCGATATCCGCTTGCTTCACGCTGCTTCCCTCTCCCTCCTCCTCCCCCTCCCAGGAAGTCAACCGTCGACGACGAGAGGCTTTTTCTGAGGACCGGGAGGGAAGAAACGCATCCAAGAACATAGATCCCCACCTCGCACCTCGAAGTTCCATCCTGCTTCTCCTCCTCCTCCTCCTCCTCCTCCTCCTCCTCCTCTGAGATTCCTTCTCCTCCTCCTCCTCCTCCTCCTCCTCCTCTTCCTCCTCCTCGTCCACCCCTTCCAGCCTCACTACCCTACTACGCCTCACTTATTACTCGTCCCTCTCCTGGTCCTTCTCCACTCTTCCTCCTCATTTTCTTACCCCTCCTCCATGATTCCTCCCCCAGATGCCTCATCACCGCCTTCACTCCTCCTCGAGCAGACACGGCGAAACAACTCCTGGCCAGACCCGCGCCCGCTGGGCGCGCCGAAGAGGGGGCCAGGAACAGGTGTGGGGGGGGGGGGAGAGTGCGGATCACGTCCCGAGGCTTAGGTCGGGCCTGTCCCCCTATAGGGGGATTTTGGACGAAAATGAAAGAATACCCCAAACATTGTTCAAAATGGTCAAATAATACTAAAAAATAGTCCCCATACTATTTTTTGACTATTTTTGAATATTCTCCCTGTAGAGGGACAGGCCCGACTTCATCCGAGGCACAGCATGTGCGCGGACGACTGGTGGGCCAGGGGGCACGTTCAGAGAAGGCGGGGGGGAAGGCGAACCTCCTCCTCCAATGTTACGGTGGACAAGCGTTGCCTTTTCTCGAGCCGTCGCGTCTTCTTCCTCCTCCTCCTCCTCCTCCTCCTCCTCCTCCTCCTCCTTTTCCTCCTCCTCCTCCTCCTTTTCCTCCTCTTTCTCCTCCTCCTCCTCCTCCTCCTCCTCCTCCTTTTCCTCCTCCTCCTCCTTTTCCTCCTCTTCCTCCTCCTCCTCTTCCTCCTCCTCCTCCTCCTCCTCCTCCTCCTCCTTTTTCCTCCTCCTCCTCCTGCTCCTCCTCCTCCTCCTCCTGCTCCTCTCGAGCGCTTTCTTCCTCTGCCTCCGCGCGCGGAGCGCGCGGGGCACGGAACAGCCGCGGCATGCCACCAAAAGGGAGCGCCAACCACGAGGAACGAAGCCACCTCGTAGGCGCCCCGCGTGCCGCAGGAGAGCCCTCCTCCTCTTCCTCCTCCTCCTCCTCCTCCTCCTCCTCCTCCTCCTCCTCCTCCCTTCTCCCTCCTCCCTCCTCCCTCCTGCCCTGCCTCCTCCCTCCTCCCTCCTGCCTCCTCCTCCTCCTCCTACTTTTCCTCCTCCTCCTCCTCCTCCTCCTCCTGCTCCTCCTCCTGCTCCTCCTCCTGCTCCTCCTCCTCCTCCTCCTTCTCCTCCTCTCGAGCGCCCGCGTGCCACAGGAGGCGCCCGCGTGCCACAGGAGAGCCGGAGGAACAGCCAAGATAGGACCTGAGGAACAGGGAGCCCCTTCAGGTAGGGAACCGAACTCTATGCACCGACGCGTACTCCGGGCCTGCCCTGACACTTGCAAGCAATAGAGCGGATTCTGGTGTATACGGCATCCCCGGTGTATGAATTCCTCGTTGCTTCCCCAAGAACACGTTCTGAACAGGTCTTAGACATCTGGAAATTATTTGGCAGCCTGCTTCCTCTCCATTAATCGACTTCCACAAGACTGTTCCTTCTTTCTGAAGGGGCCCTGGGACACACAAATAAATACACACAAATAACCGGATTCCCCATATTTTCCCATATTTTCTGAGGAATCGACGATTAATTGTGTCTGTGTTTTATCCACTCCTGATCAGCGTCTTGACTGTGGGATCTCCTCAGAACACTTGGCGTCGCGGCCACGCGCGCGGCGGCGCGGCGCATGTCGAGTCGAGCGGAAGCGCGCGGGCCGGCTCCGCTCGCGCGGCGGAGGAGCAGGAGGACGGCCCGTGGGGCATCCGCTGCAGCACTCGCGAGGGAGAGCGTCGAGGGCAACGAGGGGAACGCACATATCCAGACCCTTCCCTGAGTCCAGATCCGTCCTACTTTGGCCTTTTTTTCCCAGCGTAGAATTGCGTCGGAAATCCACCTATGAGAAGCCGAAAAAGTAGGGCGGAAATTTCTGCACACAGCATCAAGTAGGGCGGAAATCCACAGAAGTAGGGCGGAAACAGCAACAGACAAAGTGGGGCGGAAATTGGCATCCGCGGGGCTTGAAAGGTAAGGCGGAAATTCCAAGCCCGACTCACGAAGTTCCCCAAAGTAGGGCGGATCCGGAGTCGGGGTTGACGTCGTGATTTTTTCATGACGTCGACCCCGAGAGCTCTGGTTGGGCGCCCGAGTTATCCGGGGTAACTCGGGTCCGGGGTAACTCGGGTTTGGATTCCCGAAAAACGAACCCGAGTTAGCCCTGACCCGAGTTACCCCTGATGATTTTGGGCCTCTGGACGCCCGAGTTGTCCGGGGTAACTCGGGTCCGGGGTAACTCGGGTTCGGACTCCCGAAAAGCGAACCCGAGTTATCCCTGACCCGAGTTACCCCGGATGATTCGGGGCTCTGAATGACGTCGACCCCGAGAGCTCTGGACCCCTTCCCCAGGACCGGTGTTTCATCCCGAGTCGTTTCTGCGGCGCTCCTGCGGCTGGGTCAGGGCCCCCGGAGGCCGAGCGAAGCGAACAGCGCCTCCCCGTCGTGACTCTTGAGATGGCTCGAGGGGGTCTGGGTGCACATTGGGCGCCCGAGTTATCCGGGATAACTCGGGTCCGGGGTAACTCGGGTTTGGATTCCCGAAAAAGGAACCCGAGTTATCCCTGACCCGAGTTACCCCTGATGATTCGGGGCTCTTGGACGCCCGATTTATCCGGGGTAACTCGGGTCCGGGGTAACTCGGGTTTGGATTCCCGAAAAATGAACCCGAGTTAGCCCTGACCCGAGTTACCCCTGATGATTCGGGGCTCTGGACGCCCGAGTTATCCGGGGTAACTCGGGTCCGGGATAACTCGGGTTCGGATTCCCGAAAAACGAACCCGAGTTATCCCTGACCCGAGTTACCCCTGATGATTCGGGGCTCTGAACTCTTGTGATGACTCGAGGGGGTCTGGGTGCACACGCACACAGACTTGAGCAGGGACCGACCGTCCCGGCATTCCTGTAGTCCTACCACGAAATGTTCTTAGAACCCAAACATGTTCTAAGAGCAAAAGCAATGTTCTTAGAACATACACACGATGTGCTAAAACAGGGCAATCTCCACCAGAAATGTTCCAAGAAGGTTTCGGGGGAACCACAAAGGTTCTCAGAACATGGCTTGGTAGGCCTATAGGCACACCAGGACGCTTCGCCACTGCTTGACCTGCTTGACAGAGAGTCCCCAATTCTTCTGTGGGCGCCCCCGATGCCCCCCGCTCTGCCTCGGAGCTGCCCGGAGGCGGCCGGCCGCGAGGGCGGTGGGGGCCGCGAGGGCGGCGGGGGAGCTGGAGGAGCGGAGGAGGCCGGGGGCGCCTCCGCCATCATCAGCGGGTGGGTCCTCTGCGGAAGCACCTCTTCGGGAGCATACTCTCTTACATGCCTCTTCAAAACTAGCCTGGCGAAAAACCCAACCACATGAAGATGTGAGTGCTGCAGTTGTGGGTATCGTCTCCCGTGGAGCTCTCCGTACTGGGTTGGCAAGACGCACGCGAACTGCCCCACTAGGGCCTTCAGTGGAGCTCCCTATGGGGCCACGAAGCGCAGTGCTGGATGGGGGGACGCATGCGAACTGCGCCACTGGGATTTTCGGTGGAGCTTCCTATGGGGCCACGAAGCGCTGTACTGGGTGGGGGGGGCGCACGCGGACTGCGCCACTGGGACCGTCGGTGGAGCTCCCTATGGGGCCACGAAGCGCTGTACAGGGTGGGCAAAACGCATGCGAACTGCGCCACTGGGACCTTCGGTGGAGCCCTCTATGGGGCCACGAAGCGCTGTACTGGGTGGGCAAGACGCATGCGAACTGCGCCACTGGGACCGTCGGTGGAGCTCCCTATGGGGCCACGAAGCACTGTACTGGGTGGGCAAGACGCATGCGAACTGCGCCACTGGGACCTTCGGTGGAGCTCACGAAACGCTGTACTGGGCGGGGGAGACGCATGCGAAATACGCCACTGGGACCTTCGGTGGAAATCCATATGGGGCCAGGAAACATTGTACTGGGTGGGGGGGGCGCACGCGGACTGCGCCACTGGGACCCTCGGTGGAGCTCCCTATGGGGCCACGAAACGCTGTACTGGGTGGGGGAGACGCACGCGAACTGCACCGCTGGGACCTTCGGTGGAGCTCCCCATGGGCCCACGAAGCGCTGCACTGAGGGGGGGGACGCATGCGAACTGCGCCACTGGGGCCTGTTAGGGATCTCTCCATGGGGCCACAAAGCGCTGTGCTGGGTGGGAGAGACGCATGCGAACTGCGCGTCTGGGACCTTGGGTGGAGCTCCCTCTTGGGCCACGAAACGCTGTACTGGGTGGGGGGAGACGCATGGACGCTGTGCTGGGCGGGGGGCGACGCATGCGAACTGCGCCACTGGGACCTTCGGTGGAGCTCCCTATTGGGCCACGAAGCGCTGTAATTTGTGGGCGACGGAAACGCATGCGAACTGCGACACTGGGACCTTCGGTGGAGCTCCCTATGGGGTCACGAAATTCTGCACTGTGTGGAGGAGACGCATGCGAACTGCGCCACTGGGACATTAGGTGCAGCTCCCTATTGGGCCTCGAAACGCAATGCTGGGTGAGGATGACGATGACGACAACGACGAGAACATGCGGAGGGCAGAGGCAAGAACGGGAAGAGGGAGGAGGGGGAGACGGAGGAGGAGGAGAGGAGAGGCGAGGAGGAGAGGAACGCGGGGACTGTCTCCTCAAAACGAGGACCCAACAACAGGTTGGCTGGCAAATAGAGCGACGCGCTGCTCAAAATCGAAGCGCTCGATAGTTCGGGCACTTGTCAGCGAACGCGTTCCTCGGTGCTGTGAGGGTATTGCCGGATGTCGGACACCCGTGCGTCTGGGCCAAAACTCTCGTGGCAGCAGTGAAGTTGCGCCGAACACACAAGCACCGACAACTATAACCGTCAGTGTACTTTTGACGAGTCTCGTAGACCTCGTCGTCGTTGTCGTCGTCGTCCTGCTGCCTGCTGGCACGCGAGAATCCTTGCCTCCGGCGCCAGGAAGGGACGGCGGCGGCCCGCGAGGCCGAAGGCCGGAGCCAGCCGAAGCCGAATCTGCTGAGAGCGGCCGAGAGACGGCCTGGAGAGACAACCACGCTGCAAGAGCACCACAATCGACCGAGCCGAGGCGACTGAGATTAGCGGGCGAAGAGCGGTATAAGATTAGCCGGGCGAAGAGCCCAACCAAATGCAGCTGTGCGTGCCGCAGTTGTGGGCATTGTCATCCGCAGAACTCCCTGTACTGGGTGGGGGAGGCGCATGCGAACTTTGCCACTGGGGCCTTCGGTGGAGATCCCAATGGGGCCACGAAGCGCTGTACTGGGCGGGGGGGACGCGTGCAAACTGCGCTTCTGGGACCTTCGGTGGAGCTTCCTATGCGGCCACGGAATGCTGTACTGCGTGGGGGAGACGCATGCGAACTGCGCCACTGGGACCTTCGGTGGAGCTCACATTCGGGCCACGAAGCGCCGTACTGGGCGGGGAGAGACGCACGCGAAGTGCACCACTGGGACCTTCGGTGGAGCTTCCTATGGGGCGAGGAAGTGCTGTACTGGGCGGGGGAAATGCGAACTGCGCCACTGGGACCTTCGGTGGAGCTCTCCCTCTCGGGCCACGAAACGCTGTACTGGGTAAGGGAAACGCATGCGAACTGCGCCGCTGGGACCTTCGGTGGAGCTCCCTATGGGGCCACGAAGCGCTGTACTGGGCGGGGGCGGCCGCGTGCGAACTGCGCTTCTGGGACCTTCGGCGGAGCTCCTTATGAGGCCACGAAGCGCTGTGCTGGTGAGGGAAACACCTGCGAACCGCACCACTGGGACTTTCGGTGGAGCTCCCTATGGGGCCACGAAGCGCTGTACTGGGCGTGGGCGGCCGCGTGCGAACTGCGCTTCTGGGACCTTCGGCGGAGCTCCTTATGAGGCCACGAAGCGCTGTGCTGGGTGAGGGAAACACCTGCGAACTGCGCCACTGGGACTTACGGTGGAGCTCCCTATGGGGCCACGAGGCGCTGTACTGGGCGGGGGCGGCCGCGTGCGAACTGCGCTTCTGGGACCTTCGGCGGAGCTCCTTATGGAGCCACGAAACGCTGTGCTGGGTGAGGGAAATACCTGCGAACTGCGCCACTGGGACTTTCTTTGGAGCTTCCTATGGGGCCACGAAGCGCTGTACTGGGCGGGGGGGACGCGTGCAAACTGCGCTTCTGGGACCTTCGGTGGAGCTTCCTATGCGGCCACGGAATGCTGTACTGCGTGGGGGAGACGCATGCGAACTGCGCCACTGGGACCTTCGGTGGAGCTCCCTCTGGGGCGACGAAATGGTGTACTGGGTGGGGGAGACGCATGCGAACTGCGCCACTGGGACCTTCGGTGGAGCTCCCTATTGGGCCACGAAGCGCAGTGCCAGGTGACGATGATGACAACGACGAGGACATGCGGAGGGCAGAGGCAGGGACGGGAGGAGGGAGGAGGGGGAGGAGGAGGAGAGGAGAGGAGGAGAGGAACGCGGGGACTGTCTCCTCAAAACGAGGACCCACAAACATGTTGGCTGGGAAGAAACTGTTCTGCCGTTGGGGGCACCTGCCCCCCAGGGAGGCTGCAAAAAGTCATATCCCTACACGGGGGGCAGGCGTACCCTTCCTCGGCCCTCCTAATTACTGGGAAGCAGCCGAAACGACCGAACTGTGAACACCGTCGGGGAGCGAGGGAGGGCGGGGCGTTTGGGAGTGAGTCCCCCCCCCGTTGCACCTGGTACTCGCGCGTGAAGAGCTGGTTCAGCCTCACGTCCACAAAGTCCTGCCCGGAGCGCATCGCCGCCTGGGGGCTCCCGCGGGGCCGGCCGCTCCTCCCTTCCAGCCTCCTGGGTCACCCAAGCGATCGTTCTTGATTTTTCGACGATGGCCCAAGTCGATTTTGATTTTTCGACGATGTGTTCGACGATTTGTCGAGACCATTCTTGATTTTTTTGAGGAAGGTGTCGGGCCAAGCACCCAGCAGCGTCGCCTCGGGGCAGCCCCGCGCGTGCCCGCGCGCACCCGTCGTGCGCAATTACGGGATTTTCGCAGAACAATGGGGGGGGAAGGGGGGGGGAAAAAAAAACTCAACATAATCAAAGAACAGTCCATAAATAGTCCGGGGACTATGTTTTGAATATTTGTTTGACCTTTTTGGTGTATTTTTGTAGTTTTTTGTTTCTCCTAATTTTTCATCGAAACCCCCCCTGTAGGGGGACACGCCCGACAGAACCCTCGTTATCGCCAGGCCCTCCGAACAACTTTTTGTTGTTCTGACCCGCGCGTCGTGCCTGGCGCAGTGCGCGCTTCTATCGCTGCGCGCCACCGCGAGGCCGCCGTGAAGAGCACCGGCAGCCTGGCCCAGGCCGCGCCGCGCGCGAAGCGCGACTGCCACCGCGCCCCTCGGGGTGGCCCTCCCCAGGCCCAGACCCCCTCGAGAAATGAAAAAATCATGACGAGATGTTTTTCCTAATTTTCGGCCTCCGGGGGCCCTCACCGGGCCTCGGGAGCGTCAAAAAACGACTCAGGATGCAAAGCCGGTCATGGGGAAAGGGTCCAGACCTCTGGGGGTCGACGTAATGAAAAAATCATTACGTCGGGGGTCTGGGGATGTTTTCAGGACGGCGTCCCCACAAGTCCCGACCCCTTCCCCGGGACCGGTTTCTCGTCCTGAGTCGTTTTCTGGCGGCCCCGAGGCCCGGCGAGGGCCCCCCGGGCCCGAAAGTAGCCAAAAACCTCCCGCCCTGATTTTTGCTACGCCGCGATCGTGTCTGGGACGCCAGGGCCCCAGGGAAGGAGGGAGGAAGGCACAGCCAGCGTGCCTGCTTCTCCCCTCCTCGTCCCCCTTCGCCGGGCAGTGCAGCCTACCCGGGGGCAGAGCGCCGGCGCGCTCTGCAGCCATGGGGGGCCCGTCTGGAGCAGGCAGGGCATGTCATCGTGCCGATGACGGCCGCCGGAGGCCCGAGCTGCTGCACATCTTCGAAGGCAGACACGATCGCGTCGTAACAGAAATGAGGGCGTGAGGTTTTTGGCTGTTTTCGGCCCCGGGGGGCCCTCGCCGGGCCTCGGGACCGTCAAAAAACGACTCGGGACGAAAAACCGGTCCCGGGGAAAGGGTCGGGACTGCCAGGGACGCCGTCCTCAAAACATCAGGACGTCGCATGTCTGGGAAGGCACCGTGCTACCACTCAGAACGCTGAGCCTTGACCCTCTTGCGTCGTGAGCCCAAAACACGACGGGCGGGCTTTTGGTTTTCGCTGCCACAAAATCGACTCAGGACCTGGTCCAGGGCGAGGGGTCGAGAATCCTGGGGGTCGACGTCGTGAAAAGTCACTCGGGGGAAAAAACAAAAAAAACATAAACATAAACTCTTGGCCCTCGGCGCGGAGTTCTTGGATCTGCGCTGGACCCCCCTCCCTCCTGGCGCGTGAAGCGCGCCAGGCGCGGCGCCGCAGGCGCCGCCGGGGGGTCCCCGCGCAGATCCAAGAAATCCGCGCGGAGCGCTAGAAGTTTATGTTTATGCCGTTGTTCAAGGACCGACCACAACGATGTTAAAACGCGTTGGCGTTTAGAACGCGCAACGCGTTGAACCCGACCGTTGTGCAGCGAACGCTTGAAACGAAACCGGCCCAAACGAGGACGAAAAACGAGAGGAAACGGCCGTGACTCGAAGGAGGAAAACGGCGTTTTTTTCGGCGGTGGACAAACCTCCCTTTAGTAAACCTCCCTTTAGTGAAAACGGCCTGGGACCGAAACCAACGGACCTGGACCCGCAAAAGCGACGGCCGCGACGCCCTCTCGCGAACCGAAAACGGCCAATTCGCTGATCGACGTGTCAGGGTAGGAGGTCTGTCCACCCCCGAAAATTTGTCCTCCTTCGAGGCACGACGTCCCCTGAGATCCGACGTTGCAAAAAAATTGCAACATCGCAAAAAATTCACGCCTGGAGACCCGGACCCCATCTTTCCGCGCCATCTTTCGAGCCCGATCGATCTGTGAGGGCCCCGGGCCCGAAATCGAGCGAAAACGCCCCTTGCAAAAAAATTGCAACGCCAGGATCCCAGACCCCCGACGTAATGATTTTTTCATTACGTCGACCCCCAGAGGTCTGGACCCTTTCCCCATGACCGGCTTTGCATCCCGAGTCGTTTTTTGACGCTCCCGAGGCCCGGTGAGGGCCCCCGGAGGCCGAAAATTGGGAAAAACCTCCCGTCGTGATTTTTTCATTGCTCGAGGGGGTCTGGGATCTCAGGGTCTGTCCACCCCCGAAGTCTTACTCCTGCGAGGCACGACGTCCGGGCTCTGGGTTCGGAGGGTCGCCGGCCGCGGCGGGCCTGCCGGGCGGCCAGGGGCTGCAGGTTCATGCCGTAGACCTGCTGCGGGGGGGGGAGGCAGCCAGGAGCGGCTCCTTCTGAGGCGCGCGTCTCCTCCTCCTCCTCCTCCTCCTCCTCCTCCTCCTCCTCCTCCTCCTCTTCCTCCTCCTCCTCCTCCTCCTCCTCCTCCTCCTCCTCCTCCTTCTCCTCCGCTTTACCTCATTACATGTGGATCCTTGTAGGGGTGTGACGGGGAGGGGAGCCCGGCTCCTCCCCAAGACCTTTACGTCGGGCGTGTCCCTCTGCAGTTCTGTCGGGCGTGTCCCCCTGCAGGGGGATTTTCGATAAAAAATCAAACATACCCCCAGAATGCAACAAAAATGCAAAAAAATACTCGAATAATAGCCCCCAGACTATTTTTGGACTACTTTTTTACTATCGTGGGGGTATTTTCCATTTTTCGTCGAAAATCCCCCTGTAGGGGGACAGGCCCGACTTAACTCCACAGGAGGAAGAGTCGAAAACAGTGAAAACATATCATGGGGACGCTTCGTTTTGCCTACTTGGGATCTGTTGGGGGCATTGTTAATGTTCATTTTTCGTCCGGCATACGGCCAGACCCAGGACAGAAGAATATCCTTCAAGAACATGAGGCTCTCCGCTGGCCAGAACACCCCAAACCACAGGACCACTCGAGGGTCCCCCCCCCGAGGATGAACAACAGCACCCAACAAACACGAAGAACATTAGGGTACCCTCCCCGAGCCGACCTCGATCTTATACCTCGGTCCGACCGTACACCCTGCGAAATGCTTAAGAAATCATGGGTTAAGAAATTCATAGTCTCAGAAATTGAATAAAACCCAGAACTTCTATCAAAATCTTGGGATTTACACTGGAAAGTTAAGAATCATCGAGACTCTGGCCGAAAATTTGAGTTTTCTTAAGCATCGCCTAAAGTGTACCCCTGCAGGGGGACAGGCCCGACCTCGCCCCAGACCCCCTCGCGTCGCCAAAACGGGAAGCCAAGACGAGAGGTGTGGGGGGGGGCAGCTTCCGGCCTCTCGGGGCCCTCCCCGTCCCCTGGGGCCGTCACCTCCTCCTCCTCCTCCTCCTCCTCCTCCTCCTCCTCCTCTCCCTCCTCCTCCTCCTCCTCCTCCTCCTCCTCCTCCTCCTCCCTCCTCCTCCTCCTCCTCCTCCTCCTCCTCCTCCTCCTCCTCCCCCCTCCTCCTCCTGCTCCTCCTCCTCCTCCTCCTCCTCCTCCTCCTCCTCCTCCTACTCCCCTCCTCCTCCCTCCTCCTACTCCCTCCTCCTCCCTCCTCCTCCCTCCTCCTGGACGGGAGTAGGTGGCGTCGGAGAATCGCGCCGCATCGCCGACACATCGGCGCTGCATCGGCGATGCATCGGCGACGCACCAGCGTCGCATCGTCGACGTCGGCGATGCATCGGCGACGTCGACGTGCGGCAAATCGGGCTGCACATCGAGCCGCATCGGCGATGCATCGGCGATGCAGCGCGATCCTCCGACGCCATCTACTCCGACCCCATCTAGGAGGCCTAGAATCATACATCGCCTCTGGATGACAAGCTGGTTCCGGGGAAGGTGGTCTAGACCTCCAAGGCCCCACGGCTTGGCAAAATCACGACGCTGGAAGTCTGGGTCCCTTAGACCTACTCTTCCTCCTCCCTCCGCCCTCCCGCAGATCTGCTGCCTTCCTCCTCCTCCTCCTCCTCCTCCTCCTTCGACTCCTCCTCCTCCTCCTCCTCCTCCTCCTCCTCCTCCTCCTGGTCCTCCTCCTCCTCCTCCTCCTCCTCCTCTTCTCCCCTCCTCCTCCTCCTCCTCCCGCCTCCTCCTCCTCCTCCTCCTCCTCCTCCCTCCCTCCTACTCCCCTTCTCCTCCCTCCTCCTCCCTCCTCCTCCCTCACGACGACGACGACGCCGCCGCCGCCGACGCCGACGCCGACGCCAAAACCGACGCCGACGCCGACGCCGACGACGCCGACGCCGACGACGACGACGACGACGCCGACGCCGACGACGACGAGGGGAGAGGAGCAGGAGGACGACGAGGGCCCCCTTCGAGCGCCGACGGCGACCACGAGGCGGCCCCCGGGGCCCAGGCGCGGCAGGCCCGTCTCGAGCACCTCGTCGGCCAGCTGCGCCTGGGGCGGGGCTGGAGGGGGAGGGGGAGGGGGGATGTGACAGGGGGAGGAGGGAGGAGGGAGGAGGGCGAGGGGGGGGAGGGAGAGGGGGGAGGAGGGAGGAGGGAGGCTGGAGGAGGGAGGAGGGAGGAGGGAGAGGGGGGGGGGGGGCTCCCACCTCCTCTCCCCGGACATGGTCACGTCGATAAAAGATCCGAACGGAGGTTTTTCGCCGTTTTCGGCCTCTGGGGGCCCTCGCCGGGCCCTGGGGCCGTCAAAAAACGACTCAGGAGGAATCGCCGATCCTGGGGAAAGGGTCGGGACTTCCGGGGACGCCGTCCTGAAAAAATCGGGACGTCGCATGTCTGGGTCGGCGTCGCCGCGAGACACGACGCAGGGCTTTCTTCACAACTGGCGGCCTCCGGGAACAGGGCCGTCAGAAAACGGCTCGGGATGACAAAACCGGCCCCGGGCTGGACCCTGGTATCTGCCCGCATGGCTCTTCCAATGCGCGGCTGCAGAGATCCTGGCCCCTTTTCTGGGTGACCCAAAAGGGGGTCCAGCTGAAAGAGGGTGATGCAATAGATTTGGGGCACTTGCAAATGCATTGCGCCGGAAAATTGTATTGCAGCGTATTGCAAGTGATGTATGCCCCAGAATGTACTGCACGCCCCAAAGGCATCGCAACCCCACAAATCTGTAGCACCAAATCTATTGCACCACCCCCTTGTCGCTGGACTCCTTTTTGGGTCAACCCGACCCTTCCCCAGGGGCCCTTTATGTTGCTCCCGTCCTACTTAAGGACCGCATCCCAGAAATAATTTCGAGCACCCGGGGAAAAGTGTCAAAAGAGTGTCGAGGCAGTGTCGGGCGAGTGCCTCCCAGGGCCCGACATGTGAAAACCCTCGAGTTTCGGTACCTTCTTGAGCGCTCGAAACTTTTCCTGGTGATCGAGGCTAAAGTAGGTTCGAGCATCATAGCCCCCCTCTTTGCCGCCCTCGACTTTTGGGTCTGGACGCATTGAAATAAGAAGAGACGCCATGAAATCTGGGGAAATATCAGGGCCCCCGCCATGATATCCACCCCGCCCTGGTCATCACCCCCCTCTTTGCCGCCCCCGACTTTTGGGTCAACCCGCTCGAAATTCTTCCTGGTGATCAAGGCTAAAGTAGGTTCGAGCATCATAACCCCAGGGGTAATCCTTCATCCCGGATGCATGCCTGTTCAAAATGAACAGGAACTGCTGTTGGGCATTGTGTCCATTCTTTCCGTGCCCATCTCGTTCGTGCAGACCTTTTGGGTCAACCCGACCCTTCCCCCGGGGCAGTCCTTTCTCCCGGATGCATGCTTGGGAGCGGCCCCCCCCCGCTCGGGCCGGCATCTGTGCATCACCGCCGGTGGACAAAACACAGACCGCTGGGGATCTCTCGGAGGATCGAATCTTAGATCGGGCATGGCCCCCCACAGGCAGATTTTGGGCGAAACAAATATGAGAATACCCCCAAAAAATACCCCCCAAATAGGCAAACTCTAGTCAACAAAATCGTCCCCAGACTCATTTTCAACTATTTTTACATATGCCTCCTGTAGATGGACAGGCCCGACTTAAATCTAATGACCCAGGATTTGGGGGATCCTGCAAGATCCTGCACCCAAGCCCGGGTCAGTGCGCCCCCGGCGCTGCAGGATCCTGAAAGCTTCCCAAGAGGGGGGCGTCCAAGAGGGGGGGGGCGCAAATCATGGCGGACAGCATGTGTGCGGCACAATGGGGGGCCAGGGACGTCGCGCAATCAGAAGAGGCGCCATGAAATCTGGGGAGATCTCATGGCCCCCGCCATGATACCCCTCCTCCTCCTGCATCTTCTCCTCCTCCTCCTCCTTTTCCTTTTCCTCCTCCTCCTCCTCCGCCTCCCCCTCCTCCTCTTCCTCCTCCTCCTCC